ATGACAAAGACCCTGGAGGATTCAGACTTGGAGGCAGATGACTTATCTCCTCCTACCACTATAGACTTCCTGGTGGTGGTGGTGGAGGAGTATATTACTCTGTTCTATGGGCTAAAGGAAACTTGAGAGGATAAAGAGGACATCTAATGGTTGTTAGCGACTTAACCTCCTTTTCTCAGAGGAGTGAACTGAAAAATGCCTCCCTTTTTGCAGCAAAGAAACTCATGGAGGACAAAAACAATGGGGAGAATCTGTACAGACTTGTAAGGGCTTAATATGGGAACATTGGGAAGCTAGGCATTTCCTTATGAACCATTCCATGTAAAATATCGCTCTCTCAATGTAGAGTATGATTGGCTACATAGGGGAGGAAATTGTCTGATGGGGAGGGAGTGGTAGTGTTTGGAAAGAGCACAGGTAGAGTGCAATTAGGCTCTTATGGAGTGTATGTCACTGGGGCATTCGCTCAGCAGTGCTTGGATCACTGTAAGACACTCTATGAGAGCTGTTGGGAGAGAAGATCAGGGGAGAAACTTTTGAGATTCACCATACGCCACTGCCAGAATCTTAAGAGTTGCATCAACTCTTTGTTCATAGTCTCTCTGTGTATCTCAAGGCAAACTGGGATTAGGGATGCTGTCTACTGATGCCAGACATGCTTATGTTACCGCTGTTTACTGGTGACGAGTCCTTGCTTCCCCAATGCTGAAGTATAACACCAGAGAAGCACACCGAGGCAAGTTTAGAGTGGAAAGTAGAAGCTTCATTAAAGGACAGCAGAAAAGACTTCTCCCTGGGCTGGGTTTGTGGCTCAGTGGTAGAGCACATGTGTGAGGCACTGGATTCGATCCTCAGCACCACATATAAATAAATGAATAAAATAAAGGTCCATCAACATGTAAAAAAATTAAAAAAAAAAAAAAGACTTCTCCCTGGAGGAAGAAGGGGACCCAAGAGGTGGAATCTGTGGAAGGGCAAGGTCTTCCCTTTTTTATAGCTAAGGTCTTCTTTCAGCTTTCCCGAATTCCTGTCCTTTGTTCTCTGTTATCTTGCAGTGATGGAATGTAGGTGGGAAGGCCCAAAGGGTGGGAGTCAGGTGGGCTGTAGGAGTAATCTAGGCAGAGAGGACTTTTGGATTAGCAGCTGGGAGCTGCTTCATTTAACATTTCCTTGGGCTGAGCTTGGAGCCTTGGGGACATTTTCAATTCCCCTTTTCCTGGACTCCATTCTCCATGTGGCCATCATTCTTGATTTTACTGGACATTAGACCCGATTTACCTAACTACACTAACTACCTATCTGTAAATCTGGCTTCACTTGGAACCTGGATAGGACAGTGAAAAAATGGCTTTGGCAAAACTCAACATACTTGACCCACAGGAGAGGTGATTAGGAGCTGCTGAGACCATAAAGCCTGTCAACCAAGTCTTGTAGAATCCCTAACTGCAGTTAATTATGGATGAGTGCCCATCATAGTCCTCCAGAAAGAAAGAGACATAAAGGTACACCTCAGAAAGATGTGAGGTGCTGAAGAGCTAACTATGGTGGCAATCCTGGGCAAACCTGAAACTGATATCTGTCTTGAAAATCAAGATCAGGTCCTTGGGGCATGGGTTGTAGCTCAGTAATAAAGTGTTTGCCTCACTTGCCTGAGGCCCTGGGTCTGATCCTCAGCACCACATAAAATAAATAAAAATAAAAGATATTGTGTTCATCTGCAACTAAAACAATAAAAAAGAAAAAGATCAGGTCTTATTCCGCCTGTATGGCAGATTAATCACCTGAGATACTGAGGCAAGAGTTAAAAAAGAAAGTAAACTTTATTTAAGAGACAGGAGAGAGAGAGAGAGAGAGAGAGAGAGAGAGAGA